ATGAAGAGATACATTGCTATGAAACAATATATTTGTATTACTCTCATTGGGTAATAAAAAGCGGATTGTCCCATAGCTGGGCAGGAAGAGACTGAGCATGAAAACCAGACTAGGAGAATTCTGGGAAGAAGAAGGGTGGAGTCAGAGAGTCACCAGCAAACACAGAGAAGCAAGATGAGAATGCTGTACTGAGAAAAAAGCACCAAGCCACGTGGCTGAGCATAGATAAGAATTATGGTTTAATTTAAGTGTTAAGAGTTAGCTAGTAGCAAGTCTGAGCTATTGGCCAAGCATTGATAATTCATATTCAGCCTCTGAGGTGGTTACTTGGGTACTGGTGGTTGGGAAAAAATGTCTGTCAACAATACCTAGTGCTCTCGTGCGAGGCCCTAGTGTCATTGAGAAGATAACTGTCATCTCCATGGTCCAGGAACTATAGTCATCTGGTCATTGATGTCAAGATCCTGTCAGACCCCTGGCAATTCTTAAATATGAAAAGCAAGAAGTGTGGAATTCCATCAAGGTATAAAGATTGGACTGATGTCCTCAGAAGACCTATCAATAAGAACAATAAGGCATGGTATTAGATACGAGGAGAAGACAAGACAGTCAATGAGGAACTAATGTTTAAAAGTAAAAGTTAATTAATGAATCAACATGACAATGAAAGTCTAGTAGCCCTTAGTAGTTTTCATAGCTGAGCTTGAGGTCCTATCCAGAAATTATCCAGTGAAAGACAGCTTGAGACTCCTGAAGAAAAAACATAAAGAATGAAGACAATTACATACACTAATGATCCACTTCATCCTCCGCTTACAGACCTGCAAATGTCACCTTGGAAGTAATATGCGGAGGAAGAGCATCACCTAGATCTTGCAATGACCATTTGACGGCATGGTAAGCTGATTCTGACATTCAGAGACCCAGAGCAGCGTCATTCAATCTCCTCTGATAGATTGCATAGATGAGCATAGGTGACCAAGGCTTATTACCAAGGTCTTTGACACTCTAGGTCCCCCAGGTATGTGAACCCATTTCGTGATCATTGCTCTGGCTCTAGGGGTGTCACTGAAATATACTTTCTTGACATTGGTAGAAATGGACCAATATAGCAAGAACTGTTAGAATCCAGAACCCCACTATGGATTACGTCAAACACAGACTACTTGAGATTATGTGCCTTTTTTTTTTTTTGAGATGTACAGCCATAATCTGTTTGATTCACACACCATGTAAATTTGTGTGTACTTCAACTCATGATTCTGGTTTCCTCTAGAAAATCTGACTGTTAATCTTAGATGAGTTATTATACTTGCATTTGATTTCAGCTATTTCATGCCAGATACACATCCTAGAAGGGTATTACATTTTTCTTTGAAAAGCTGACCTTTCTTGGGAATATCAGAAAAATTCCAGGTGGTGAATGCTGAAATGAATCTTTTCATGGAATCTCTGTTTAGAAGCCTATGGCTTATTATGATTTTATTATTTATTTATTTTTAAATATTCATTAGTTCTTCAAGGGTTTAATTTAATTTGTTTTGATCATATTCACCCCTTCACCCATGTCTTCCTGGATCTTCTCTGTTCTTTCCTCACCTAACTTTGTCTCCTTAAAAATAAAAAAATCTTATCAAGACCAATTTGTATCGTTCAAATATTCTTGGATAAGTGGCCTTCCCCTGGAGTGTGGTCAACTCACCAGAGGCTACGTTCTTGGAGAAAACTGTCTGTCCTTCCAAAAGTTAGAGTTATCATCGTTCCTTGCTATGGCTTGGGCTTGCACTGGTCTTGTTCACGCTATCACTGACACTGGGAGCTCATCATCTGTGCAGCTGCCTTGAAGGGTCCAGAGGAAGAAAATATTTCCTTGTATTCATCTATTGCTTTTGTCTCCTACACTTTTTTCTGGCCCCTCTCCTGCAGTGCTTCCTCAGCCTTAAGAAAGGGCCTGTGGTGTGTATATTCACCGAGGACTGAGCATTCTGTAGTCTCTTATTCACTGTACCATGGCCAGTTGTGGGGCTCAGTGTTAATCATCAACTCCTGCAAGTAGAAGCTTATCAGATGTGACTGACAAATGCTCTCTCTCTCTCTCTCTCTCTCTGTGCATTCATTTGTCAGGATGTGCATGTGCATGTGGTCAGAAGACAACTTGTGTCAGTCAGTTGATTCTCTTACTCCACCACGTGCCTTCAGAAAGACTGAGCTCAGATATCAATCGAGCTTGGCGGTGGTGTTTTTACTCTCTGAGCTGCTGTCTCACCAGCCCCGTAAAAGGGATTTTGATATTGAAAATGACCTGTGCTTCACAGATCTTGCTGAGTTTCCTTGAAAGAAAAATATGAAAGATAATAATTCTCCTACTAAGCATCACTAAGATGGGACTTGGTCTAATTGTGAAACCAATCAAGTAATAATTCTCATCATCTCTTCCCAGTGTTCTGTATCACAGCATTCTTTCTCCAACATCATAATAAAATGAATTAAACTGTGCTTTAATGTCTAATGTTTTTTTTTACCATGGTATACATCACTGACCATTTTGTACATTTTACAAGATTATATTAATATAAGTTTAAGAAATTTGTAAATGAGCATAGTTTATGTTATCGCGCTCATATCTCATCACCTTGTAGTGAGTAGACTAAAGGAATGTTTAACATAATGAATAAACAGAAGAGAGGGAGGAGGAGGAAGAGGAGGAAGGTAGCTGTAATGGAGAAAACGTATTGACAGTTCTTTGTGGGACACTATGGACTCATGCCAGGATCACTGAAGTATAAATAGCTAATGATTGTTGCTTTAATTAATTTTTTTCCATACAGAGTCATTTGATAACATAAAATTGAAAACTGTAGTGATTATCTCCCTAGCAACTGGAAGACTAGGCAGAGAGGAAGAGGAGAAGAGAGGAGAGGAGAGGAGAGGAGAGGAGAGGAGAGAGAGAGAGAGAGAGAGAGAGAGAGAGAGAGAGAGAGAGAGAGAGAGAGAAAGAGAGACAGAGAGAGACAGAGAGAGAGACAGAGAGAGACAGAGAGAGACAGAGAGAGAGAAGAGAGAGAAAGAGATAGATAGAGAGAGAGAAGAGAGAGAGATACTCTATTCTGATATGATATAATATGAATTCCTTTTCCACCCATTGAAGCATTGGATCTATTAATTGAGAACACCTCTGAACAATAAAAATGAATAATAATAATCATATCTTTTGCAATTGCCTAGTTAGAGCCATGTGGTTGACATATTATAAAATCTATTTCTGATGATAAGAGTAATCCACATAATTCTGGAAGCAAAGGCAGAAATCTGTTGGGATATTGTGGTCCCTATCTACAATTTTATTTCTACATAATGTTCGTATGTGAATGCCTACAATGATAGTTTAGACATTTTATTTGCAAGTAGAACTTTTGATCTCCAGAGAGGTATTCATTGAACCACACCTTTCTTGATACACTTTATTTTCACTGGCGCCACTGTTAATCTTTCCATGAAATTCAAAGTTGGCAGATCAAAAGACAAAACAGATTAGATAAATAATAGACATAAGAACAGATCATATATAGAGGGAGAAAGAAGGGAAAAGACTGGTAAAGAGAAAACGCAGAAGGGATGATAGTGTCAGCAGATGACCACGAAGTTCCAATTTCAGAGTTAACCAAAATAGATCCACAGATACCAAGATCCTGCAGGTAAGTCAACTCCCCTGGGACCGCAATAGCTGGCTTCTCTCTCAGGGACTAAACGGAGGACTGTGCTATAAAAATAGAAGCTAGTAACACAGGATGAGCTGTGATGCTCTGAGATAAATAGATAAATATGTCTTTCTTTTGGGTGTATCCTGTATACAGCAATGCAGATTAATTTCTTTTCATCTTTTTGTGTATTTTCTTAAAACCACTTAATAAACATTATGAAGAAAAATGGACAGAAGCCATTTCTTGCTCCTCTTGAGTTTGATCATGATTAAAGGTTAGATAGATTTTTACACTAACTTTATTCAGGTAACCTTGATCCCTTGAGTATAAAATTAAAAAAAAACAAAAACCTTGATCCATTGAAGAAAATAAAATACTGTGGAGTGTATTTAGAGATAATGCTAACTGCATTTGGTTGTCTTGGAAACTGAAATGTTAAAATAATGATGAAGTGATTGCCAAAAATCAACTTGCATGCAGTTGTTATGGTAACTACTCATTTCTATATTTTTTCTCTAAATTAACAAGCTGAAATCATGAAATTGTTGCTGTGATTCATTTTATATTAATGTTTTTTCATGTCAAGGTCAAGCATGCCATCTTGGAAATGACTTATACTTAATTTAAAGGGATTTTAAAACATGGGAGTATTTGTGTGTGTTATTGTTGTTTTGTAAGTATTAGCTTATGAACAAAGAAAGGTGTGCAGCTATACATATCTAGGGTGACTATTCTAAGCCAACGTTTTTATAAGCTTCCTTGGAAGGTAAATGAGCAGCAAATGAGGAGAAGCAGTCTGGTCCACTAAATGGCAAGAAAGGAGAGATGAATAAATGAACAAGAATTACTATATTACAAGTAAGTGTTGTAGACAAAGATTTTTCATTTTCTTTCTGATTTAGGTTTTACCTTTCTTTCTGTCTTCTTTTTCTATTGTTTTAGAGGCAGGACTGGGTTATTGGTTCAAATTTGTGGTTCTCTTGCCTTAGTCTCTCAAGAGAGGGAACTTTAGGAGTGTATCACTATGTCCATATATATGTGCATATATATACACATATACAAACATATATAAAATTTCAATATATTCAGTTTTGAAAGATTGTTAATTGCAACGCAGAGATAGAAAATGGAGCAGATAAGCTTGGTATATCTCATGGAATAAGAAAGAATAAACAAATGACAAGAAAACCAAAGTATCCCACATATCTAAGGGCATATCAAAACAATGTAAAGAACACAATGCTCTCAATGCAATGTGATTAAGGTGAGACTTGACTTCTGTTATTTCTATTTTCCCAGCTCCAAATCATAGTGAAACTGCAAGAAAAATACCAGACGAATGCTAATGGATGTTGTTCCATTCGATACATGATGGAATATGAGGCATTATGAAAAACTATGGACATGCACAAAATGTATGAGGCTCAGTTAACAGTCTACTGATAACAGTTCATCAATCCTGAGAAATGCACAATCATCTACCAAGAAGTGTTCACAGGAGAAACCAGGGCTGGACATGTACAATGCTCCAATGTATCTAAAATTTTCTAACAATCTTAAGTCATAAAATAAAATATTTGTCAAAATCAAATATTCAAAGAGCAAAGTAATATTCTATACTCATGATTCCATAATGTAAGTATACTGTCTCTTATAATTTATTTCCTACTTCATATCTATTTAATGTGAATTTTACCAAGAAAATTGTAATTGTTCAATGGGAAGTATGATTTATGGTTGAGTTCCAACCTAGCTCTATAATCTAATATGGATTTTTGTTTAAGTAGAGCTTTAACAAGTAATAAAATTACCAGAATGCAAGCCAGACAGTATTTCTTTTGCTAACTCTTCCCTTTTGACTATCTTTTTTATATAACAGTAGATGGAGCTTTTGACTGTGTATAGAGATGTGTCAAGGTTATTCTGGATAACTCACTAAGTTCTAATCTTCCTTCAAATCTATGCAAGTATTTATGTTAGTGCATGTCTTAGTTACTCTTCAACTGCCATGGAGAGATGCCATGGTCAAGGTTACTTATGGAAGGAAAAGTTTATTGGGAGCTTACAATTTAGAGGGCAAGTCCATGACCATTATTGGTAGCAGGCAGATAAGCATGGTGTAAGAACAGTAGCTGAGAGCTTATATGTTGAAAGAAAAATAAAACACACACACACACACACACACACACACACATGCACACACACACACACACACACACACACACACACATGCACACACACACACACAGAGGAGAGACAGGCAGACAGACAGACAGACAGAGAGCACAAACTGAAATGATGGAATGGTGTGGGCATTTAAAACTTCAAAGCCCATCCCCAGAAATAGAACTACTACAACAAAGTCACACCTCCAAAATCTTTCCAAACAGTTCCATCAATTGCAGGAAGAAGCATTTAAATGTGTTAGCCTGTGGGGGCCATTCTCATGTAAACCACCATAGTATCCTCACTCTGTTGTTTAAATATCTACTTCTGCATTTCTTTCTTGGAAAATTCCTATTAAAGACATGCATATGAGAGGCTATAATAACCACATTTAAAGACATTGCATGCACAATTTTCGCACTTCAGATAGATCAAAAAAGTTGAATTTAGCTATCTAAGTGGATCTACGTGAAAAAGAATCCTAAAGTTTAAAGATACTTGCTATATAGAATATATACATGTATATATTCTTTTTATAGTTTAGTATCAAGGCTAATATCCTTGGAAAAACCATAATGGAAAAAAATACATGAACCACCTGGAACTCTAGTGGTTTTAAGAGAGTGCTGGATGGCAAGAGTCAGGTTTCAAGAAGTGTCTGTAGCAGGGCTCTGAAGTAGATGCTACGTAGAAAGTCTCCAGGAGATCAGTCAAACTTTCACTTGTGTTCCTAGTTTTATCATATTTGTGTTTCAGAATTTCCAACATTATTCTGTCTCTCACTGATTCTCCTTCATAAGCACATTCCATGTGACAAAACAAAAATTGGACTTTTATCACCAGATCATGATTGTTGGTTTACATTCAGTGCCTGTTAAGGTGGGGTCTAGGTTTCCTTATTTAGCAAACCAGAGTTTTCATGCTTGGCCTCCTATTTCTTTGGGAGAGAATAAATAGAATAACTGATGTGATAGATAGTTCTTTCAACTGTAAATACCTATGTAAATTAAAGAGTTATTACTTATACTACAGATCGAGGCAAACTATACAGATACAAGGAATACCTAACTGAACTGCATCAGCCTCAGTAAAAATGCTTAAAACCTGTAAGAGAACCAGCTTGTCTGCAACATGAAATGTGGCCCGTCATCAGCCTGAGTTTTTAAAACATGTTTACTGAGTTTAAATCACCACGAGCAATATTTTGGGGCCTACTTTCTAGTCATCTCACCAAATTCTGGTTATCTGGGAAAGCTATGGGCAGACAAAATTCTAACAGAGTCCTATTCTTTGGGAATAAAAGCAAGAGGCTATCAAAACAGAATGACAGGAACTCACAAGTGTTCTCAGGGTTTAATTTTGCTGTAATTTTTTTCTAAATTACTTTTGAATCAAAATTTTTATATGTTAAGATATTGTTTAAGCATCAGTGGATTAGAAAATCTTCTCTCCCTCATTTCTGGTTCAAACATCATTTTCTATACCAAATAAAAGGTAGAAATAAAAACATGTCTTCATTATTATATCATGGATCTAATTAAAAAAAAACACAACCCTTGTTTCTTCTTACACTTATCTGAATCACATGGTCTGTGTATAGCCTTATTATAGAATGCACTGCATTGAGAAACCTAACTGGTAATTTGGGAACTGTAATTAAATGCACATTGGGGAAAATGTTGTTTTGAGAATGGAGAAAAATAAGTCTTACTGACATAATGCTGGAAGATGCATAGTGATTTCAGCCGGGGGCCGCTTCACATGCTCCAGCTTTGGTAGTTCTCACACTCACTGTCTGTCCTCAGTATTGATAGATAAAATAGCTCAGGTTTTGTGGTTTTTCTATTTTTGACTTTCCTACTTGATAAACTTAATTTTTGCCTCGTGGAACCTGGGCAAGTGTCTCTCTCAGCCATGTTTGTTTTCCAGCTTAATAAATCTCCATTTTCCAGCCTTTTATTTCCCCTCACATTTTATTATGGACAGCGGTGGAAGTGAGGAACTGCGGTCTTGTTGGCATGTTTTTACCCTCTGCTCCAGAAGCTGTGTAGGGTTTCTATTGCTTTTTGGAAATATGAAAGTAAATAATGAGGAGTGGAAAGCCCCAAAAGTTGTGAATTAACAAGAGAAGGTTAATGGATAAAAAAGGATGCTTTTTTGTGAATTCAAGATTTCTGCTTCTCGTTGAAATAAGAAATAAGGAGAGTGGTAATTATGTCAGGTATTTATCTTTAAACCTTTTGTTGCAATTTTTTTTTGTGCTATGTTTCATTGAAATTTATGTACTCATTACCTAAAGTAAACCTAGAGATGTTGGAAAAAGTCATATTTTTAAAAATTAGCTCAGCAATAACAATATATAAGCCAACCTGTGTTTACAAGTTCAAAACACCTTTGACTTCATGTGGGGAAGCATTGGCAGAATGACCTTCCTGCTCTCCTTAGAGAGTCTGTACATTATTATTATTATTGTTGTTGTTGTTGTTATTAATTATTATTATTTTGATTTTTTGAGACAGAGTTTCTCTGTGTAGCTCTGGCTGTCCTGGAACTTGCTCTGTAGACCAGGCTGGCTTCTAACACAGAGACCTCCTGGGCACTGAGATTAAAGGCATGCACCACCACCACCTGGTGAATCTCCAGAATCTTGTGGTGGGCTTCTTACTTCACCCTCTAGAAAATGATGCTGTTAGCTATTCTAGGTATTTAGCTGCCACCATGCATCAGTCTTTTCATGCAAGTGCAAAGAGAAAATCAAGGTGGTTCTAGCTAACTTCGAAGAACATATCACATGGAAATGGGCATCAGTAATGTTAATATCAAGGTGTTTGTCACTAGAATGAAGCAAGAAAAACACATGCAGCATGTGTACTTCTTTTAGTTTTCTGGTTCTTTTTTTTTAATTGTCAAGTTCAGCTTGAGTTTATTGAACAAATTGCTCATGTTATGCAAGTACATTTAAAAATCCTGGAGTTCAGTTGAAGAGAAGGAAGTGGGGTTATAAGAGCAAGGGGGGTCAGAATCATGATGGGAAAAACCATAGAGATAGCAGACCCAATCTAGTGGGAGCTCATGGACTCTGGATTGACAGCTGGGGAGCCTACATGGGACCGAGCTAGGTCCTCTGAATGTAGGAGAAAGTTACGTGGCTTGATGTGTTTGTGGGTCCCTTGGCAATGGGACCAGAACTTATCCCAGGTACAAGAACTGGCTTTTCAGAGCTCATTCCCTATGGTGCAATGCCTTACTCAGTCTTGATGCCAGGAGGAGGGGCTAGGTCCAGCCCCAGCTTAGTATGCTAGCCTGTGTTGACTACCCAAGGAGGCCTTACACTCTATGAGGAGGGGATGGGGGTGGGATGGGGGTAGGTGGTGGGGGGAGCAGGAGGAGAGGGAGATGGAACAGGGGTTGGTATATAAAAGAAAAAAATTAAATAAATAAATAAATAAATAAATAAATAAATAAAGACTCATGAAATCTACCAATTCTGAGAACCTTTTGGAAGAGTCACTAGTTGTCTCCAGTTTCTCTTCCAATGGCTGTGATGAAAGGCCTGTTCTTAAGTTTGCATGGCTCCTGGGTACCTTTGTTTTCTATACAATGTACACACCTATCTAGGCTTTGGAATGACACTAGCTGACTCTTTAGATTTGTGGCACGACATAATTCATACTAATACAGAAACCCCCCAAAGAAAAGGTCCACTTTTTGTTTGTTTTGTTTTTCAAGGCAGGGTTTGTCTGTGTAGCCCCAGCTATCCTGGAAGTCACTCTGTAGACCAGGCTGGCCTTGAACTCATAGAAATCCCCCTGCCTCTGCCTTCTAAATTCTGGGATTAGAGGTCTACACTATCACCATCCAGCAAGGTCCACTCTTTTGTTTTTATCTTTTCAGAACTTGGAACACTGCCTGACAGCAGAAACCATTAAGGACTTGTGAATTGAGGGGCGTTCTTCTAAAGGCAGACTGCATTTTGTTAACCTAGAGAACTACATTGTAGAGCATGGGCCCCCATGTGGGGATATTTTGTTTTTGTAAATGCAATGCTTTCCTTTTCTTTGCTGTTATTCCACTAGAATTTGCAGACTTCCATACCAGTATCAAATCTCTAAGGCCTCCTTTGACTTTTCTGCCATGTTTTTTTTTTCAGACTTCCACTTTCCATACAGCCAGAGATGTTAGAGATGGTTATAACTTTCTATGTAGACTTTCAGACTTTCAGTATTCATCTTTACCCACAAAATGTAGACAGAAGTTTTCCAGACTCACTGCTCAGGCACTGACCAAACTGTCTGTCTTATGACCAGTAAGGGAGAGCTTCCAGATTCAGGCTGCAGACATTGACCAAACTGTCTGTTTTACGACCAATAGGGCAAATGAACTAGGGGGACTAA